AGCGCACGTACCCTCAGGAAACCATCCTCCATCACATGGCGCCTGTGGCAATCCTGGCGCCTTGAATCTGCAGGTGAGATTCGAGGTCAGAGGCAGAGCGGGGCGAAGCATTTTGCTCCGCCTAAGTTCGTGGTAAAACAGTGATATGCAATTACAATCGATCGATGAGCATCGAGTCGAGGAAAAAGGGGCCAGCATAGTCCGCCTCAAGCCCGAACCCAAGCCGAGCAAACGGGCAGGATGGTAGAAAGACACGGGGGCGGCGACGGGCAAGCAGGTGAAGGAGGCGAGGGCAGCAGAGGTGGTGAGGGAGAGAATCAACACTATCCTCACACCCGAGGCGACATCCTCGGCGAACTAAGACAAGCATCCTAGCTGTGGTGACGTATCCTCCCGCAATGCTTCTGAGATGGGCCCAGGCCCACGAGGGCTGGGTGCGAGCGAGAATGGCTCGCAGGAAAGCCCATCTGGCCTCCATCTCCCTGGGGGCGGGGAGGAGTAACGGGGGAAACCAGGCATGAAGGCGACGGAGGAAGAGAAGGTGCAGACGGTCAGGGAAGAGGGATGAGGACAAGGAGAGGGAGAAGGCACGTTGGATCCGAGGCCTCCTCGCGCCTGCGGTAGCCGCACGGCGCCCCCCCAGCCCGCGTGTGGCCGCCTCCCTGAGGGTGACGGCGGAGATGTCGGAGGGGGGCGGGGGCCTCGAGGACAGACACGAGAAATTGAGCAATGGATCTGGGCTGGGACCAGCAGGGAGGAGACCAATCGCCTCGGATGTGTCGCACGAGCGGGCCGTGCCACAGAGCCCACTCCCCCAAGAGACGAGCGAACTCCCTAGCTCTCGGCCACGTGTGTATCTCGAACCGCCCGGCAGCAGCCCGACCGAGGACAGCCATCGCCGCAGGGGCCGAGCCCGGAAGCCATCCACGGAGGCTTAGGAGCTCGCTTCGTTTGAAATTGTTGGGAGGGAGGCGCAGAAACTTGCGCAAACGAGGTACGAGAGGACGGAGAGGGAGCAGGAATTGCAATGTCGAGCAGAGGCCTCGGCAGGGGCTCGGGTGGCAGCCGTGAGCCGCGCGCGAAAGCCATGCTTCGTGCCTGGTGCCTCCCACTGAAGCTCCAGCGTCGCCTCGGGCCCGGAAAACATCCCCAGGTATTTAGCTGGACCTCGGATCGGAAAGCTCGAAAATTCAGGGGCCACGGACAGAAGTCGGGCCTCGACGGCGGCCTTCACTTCTGGGGATGGGGCGGGGCCAGAGAGGGACAACGAAACATTTCTTGTTGTGGAGCTGGAGAGACGCCAGCTCGCGTGCAGCCGTGAAGACTAGGGCAACCCTCGCAACATTCTTCAATTCAGGAAATACCGCACCACCATCATCTGCACAAGCTCCAGCCAGTAGGGGGGCCATGGCAGCAGGGCCTTCCGAGAGAGGGTAGTCGATGCTTCCCACTTCAATGCCATGCTCACGAGGGATGCTGCCGAAGCCTTCTGAGCTGCCTTTGCTAAGGTGATGAAGACATGCATCGAGCGCCAACGCCCACAATGTGCCTGATCGCGGACAGCCCTGGGCCACGTCTGCACTGACATGGAAGAGGAACTGTTGGGGGTCCTCGCACCACGTCCAGCTCTGCATGTCATGATGCAGTGCTCGGGCCGCCAGTAGGAAGACAAGCGCAATCTGATGGAGTGGAAGGGCGGCTCGAATCCACGCCCAGCTCGTGGACGGGAAGGCCGCGCGCGCATCAAAAGGATATGAATACAGGCTGGAGGCGACCAGCTTCCATGTGGCCACCCGCCATTCTGGCATCGGTGTCCAGCTCTGCGATCTGTGTCGCGAGCTGCCGACCTCTAACGAAGCCTCGCTGCGCTGGGTGGCGCCGCGCCTCGGCCAGAGCCCTCAGCTGGGCATTGATGGCGCAGGCCACGACCTTGGCGTCAGTGTTTTTCAACGCCAAAGTGCGCAACTCACCAGGTGCCCGAACGCTGTCAACGAGGTCCTCAGGTCGCTCATCCTTAGGAATGAAGCAAAGAAGGTGGTGGTTGAAACCAGGGGGACAACCCGCTCCACTGAACATGTCCAGCATCATAGGATAAAGAGTCTCCGCTGCATCACCATGCGCAAGCCATGCACGATAGGGAAGTCTGTCAGGTCCTGGGGCACGCGGCTTGCCTCTGCGTAGCGCCCTCCGCAAGGCGCCCACCGGAGGTGGGGCCAGTGCCGGAGACGGATGCGCAGGAAGGTGCTTTCGGAGATATCCATGGCGAACTTCCGCAGGTGGCGAAGGCTTCGCTCTGAATGCCTCTCCCCAGTGCCGTTGCAGCGCAGGCGCCGCGTCGCCGGCTCCACGGGCCACAGAATCAACATTCAGGTTTCCGGCGGCTTCGCGTCCAGGAACACATGCGTGGGTAGTGCCAGACTCCCTCGAGCAGCCAGGCAGGGGGGCGGGGGGGGCAGGCTCTGCCGGCAGAGGTGCACTGCCCGCGTGGTCAGACAGGGGCCCACTGGCCAGCGAACCCGATGAAGAGGAAGCCGTCAAAGAAGAGGACCTGTGCCGTAAGCGGCCAGTAGACGCAACAGCGGTTGCTGAAACCGTAGGCTCGCGAGGCGCGGTCCCAGAGGGGGCCCGACGTTGAGGTCGCCGCCGCCGCGGGCCGCGGCCCGACCGCCCATCGAGTCCGATGCGGCAACTTGACGCGCCAAACCCGCGCGAGGCCACAGAGGCCACCGTCGAAGAGCACCCCGTCGCCATAGAGCCAGATGGCATGCGGCCAGAAGCCGCGACAGCGGTCGCTGAAACCGTGGGCTCACGAGGCGCGGCGAAACCGCCATTGAGGTCGCCTCTGCCAGGGGTGGCGGCCCGACCGCCAAGTGAGTCCGATGCAGCAACTTGGCACGACAACACGCGGAGAGTAAGAGAAATGCGGCCGGAAGGCGCAGCGGCGGTCGCTGCAGCCGTAGACTCACGAGGCGCAGCGGGGCTGTCATTGAGGTCGCCTCTGCAGTGGGCAGTGGTCCGACCGCCAGGTGGGTCCGACGCAGCGACTCGATGCGACAACCCGCTGGAGAGCCAGGAAGAGCACGAAGGCGTAGTCGAGGAAGCCGCAGGGTGTGGCGTAGCTGGCGTAGCATATTGCGCCGCAGGCCAACTCCCCGAGGGCGCGCGCAGCTCATCCCCCCCAGAACCAAAGCGGAGGGCAGCCGCCGCAGTAGGCGTCGAGGCATGGCCCTCCGCACTGTGACGGATGCCATTCAAGATGAGCCGCCGCCGTGTCGAACTCCAAGGACTGGCCCTCCTTTGCGAAGTGCGCTGGGTGGGGGGTGGCCCACGGTCGGTCGGAATAAGGGGGGGTGCGGGGGACGCCAGGGGAGGAGCGGGGGGGGGGCCCACGGTCGGTCGGAATAAGGGGAGGGGGGCGCAAGGGAGGAGCGGGGGGGGGGCCCACGGTCGGTCGGAATAAGGGGAGGGGGGCGCAAGGGGGGAGCGGAGGGGGTGGCCCACGGTCGGTCGGAATAAGGGGAGGGGGGCGCAGGAGGGAGCGGGGGGGGTGGCCACGGCGGTCGGAATAATGGGAAGGGGGCGCAGGGGAGAAGCGGGGGGGGTGGCCCACGGTCGGTCGGAATAAGGGGAGGGGGGCGCAGGGGGGAGCGGGGGGTGGCCCACGGTCGGTCGGAATAAGGGGAAGGGGGCGCAGGGGGGAGCGGGGGGGGTGGCCCACGGTCGGTCGGAATAAGGAGGAGAGGGGGGCGCAGGGGGGGAGCGGGGGGGGGGCCCACGGTCGGTCGGGAATAATGGGAACGGTCGGTCGGGAATAAGGGGACGGAGGGCGCAAGGGGGGAGCGGGGGGGGGCCCACGGTCGGTCGGAATAAGGGGAGGGGGGCGCAAGGGGGGAGCGGAGGGGGTGGCCCACGGTCGGTCGGAATAAGGGGCGGGGGCGCAGGGAGGAGCGGGGGGGGTGGCCCACGGTCGGTCGGAATAAAGGGGGGGGGGGGGGGGGGGCAAGGGAGGAACGGAGGGGGGGCCCACGGTCGGTCGGAATAAGGGGAGGGGGGCGCAGGGGAGGAGCGGGGGGGGTGGCCCACGGTCGGTCGGAATAAGGGGACGGGGGCGCAGGGGGGGAGCGGTGGGGGGGCCACGGTCGGTCAGAATAAGGGGAGAGGGGCGCAGAAGAGGAGCGGGGGGAGTGGCCCACGGTCGGGCGGAAGAAGGGGACGGGGGCGCAACCGCCAGCACGACCGCCAGCACGACCACCAGCCCAGCACGACCACCAGCACGACCACCAGCACGACCAGCCAGCAGCACGACCACCAGCTCGACCACCAGCACTTCCCAGCACGACCACCAGCACAAGTACAAGCACGACCACCAGCACGACTGCCAGCACCTCCACCAGAACGGCCAGCAGCACGACCACCAGCACGACCACCAGCACGTCCACCAACCACGACCACCAGCACGGCCGCCAGCACAACCACCAGCACGACCGCATTATGGGCACACGGTCGGTCGAAATAAAGCAGTGCGAGATCACACCGGTAGGTATGATGATAATGATTGTGGACATTCAGCAAGTGCACGGACTGACCAGCACCTTGAACTTGGAGGGGAAATGCTCTACCAGGAACCACATGCTGGGGGAGAAGGAGGGCCGATCATCTGCAGGAGGGGGCGCCAGGTCAGAGCCCGAGTACCAAAGGACCAAAATTGCGACACCTCCTTTACCGGGAGAAGAGGCCGCACTGAAACAAATCGGTATTCGAACGGTAGCTGTCGCATCAAAAAGTTGAGATCGTGTTCCGATCCGTGTACCTCCTGCAATAGACTGACAGCCCGCGTGCGAAGATAGTGCTCCAGCCTCCGAAGCTTAGCCCGACACAAGGACCGACGTCGCCTCTTGGGGCTCAAACAGCAACGACCTCTAGCATTCAAGGAAACAATGCGCACTTCCTGACGCCCACCTCTCTCTAGAGCAGAAACACGCCAGGGTTGTGCCCATTGGTCAGGACCACGACCAGGAGCTCGTATCCAACGTAGTGCAGGCGCGGTTGAAGGCCGCCGTGATGGAGGCGACGTCCACACTGTGCTGGGCGACCACCGCCTGGTTCCATGCAAGTCGCGAGGCCTCGTTGCCGCCGCGCACGGCCACCTCGACCAAGGGCTGTCCCTTAATGTGGACCAGGCCTCTGGCCCGTGTAGCCCACCACCGCTTGTTGGGCATGTGCTCTTGGGCGATCGCGGCCAATCGCTTGGACTGTTGTTCACGCCGTATCTGCTTCGGGGCCTTGTCAGGGCCCATATGCAGAGGACCAGATGCACCAGACAAATGGGTCGCCGAGAACCTCCGCCAGTCGCCCGAAGTGAAACGGAGGGCCTTGGCGAGGGCGATAGCCTTGGAGACGCCTGTAGTGCCTCCCTTGACTTCGAGGATAAAGCGGCGGCTGGGCCCTCGAGCGTGCACCACCGTGCCGTCCGTCTCAATCTTGGCGTCAGTGAGCCAGGGGGCGACGGCACCACGCACCTCCGCAGGGCCAACGTCGTCAGGCGCGTTGACCGTGAAGATGGTAGGGTACGGGTCTCTGTCAAAGTCCGCCAGGCGGGCGGTGTCCACCGAGGAACGGTCCTCCTCAGCAAGCGCCAGGCGGTTGTTGATCCTAGAGGTGTCGGCACGCATCTCCCTCTGCGCGTCCTCCATATTGAACTGCCTCCTCTGGCTATCACCGATCGCAAGATCATGTCCATCCACCCGCTGCGTCGCCGGGGCGAAGTGGGACTGGAGCTGCTCGATAATGGTACCTTGTGCCTCCTGCATAGTCGCCACAACTGCGCTGTGGACCTGCGTCGTGATGTTTGCAGTATGAGCTTGAATCTGCGTCGCAACCACCTGCGAGACATAGAGAGCCCAACCAGGATTGATGCCACCCCCATCCACCAAAGAGGGAGAGAAGGAGGAGGAGGAGGAGGAGGAGGAGGATGAGGATGAGGATGAGGATGAGGATGAGGATGATGATGATGATGATGATGATGATGATGATGATGAAGGGGACATTGAGGAGGAGGAGGAGGAGGAGGAGGAGGAGGAGGAGGGAGGAGGAGGAGGAGGAGGAGGGGGCGGACGAGGAGGCGGGGGAGAAGAAGGAGGAGAAGGAAGACGAGGATCATGATGAAGATGACAATGATGATGGTGATGATGATGAGGATTATGCTGATGACGTTGATGATGATGATGATGATGATGATGATGATGATGATGATGATGATGATGATGATGCTGATGCTGCCGCTGCTAATGATGATGCTAGTGATGATGATGCTGCTGATGATGATGATGGAGAGAACGAGAGAGACGGAGGAGTAGGAGAAGGACGGAGGAGGAGAACGAGGAGGAGGATGAGCAGGAGGAGGAGGATAAGGAGGAGGATGAGGAGGACAAGGAGGTTGCGGAGAAGGGGGAGGAGGAGGAGGGGGAGGGGGGGAGAAGAGGAGGAGGTGGAGGAGGAGGAGGAGAAGGAGGAGGAGGAGGAGAAGGAGGAGGAGGATGAAGAGGAAGAGGAGGGGGAAAAGGAGGCGGAGGAGGAAGAGGAGGATGAGGATGATGATGAGGATGATGATGCGGATGATAATGCGGAAACGGAGAAGGCGAGGGACGGAGGAGGAGGAGGATGAGGAGGCGGAGGAGGCGGAGGAAAAGGAGGATGAGGAGAAGGAGGAGGACGAGGAGGAGGAGGAGGAATAAGACGAAGAAGAGGCTGAAGATGAGGAGGAGGAGGAGGAGGGGGAGGAGGGGGAGGAGGGGGAGGAGGATGATGAGGAGGAGGCGGAGGATGAGGATGAGGAGGAAGTAGATGATAAATATGATGATGCTGCTGATGATGATTCTGATGCTGATGCTGATGATGCTATGATGATGATGCTGCTGATGATGATGACGATGACGATTATGATGATGGTGATGATGACGAGGAGGAGGAGGAAGCGGATAAGGAGAGGGACGGAGGAGGAGGAGGAAGAGGAGGAGGTCGAGGAGGCGGAGGCGGAGGAGGAGGATGAGAAGGCGGAGGAGGATGAGGAGGAGGCGGAAGAAGAGGATGAAGACGAGGACGAGGATGAGGATGAGGAGAAGGAGATGGAAGGAGGAGGAATAAGAAGATGATAATGATGATAATGAAGAAGAGGAGAACGGATGATGATGATGATGATGATGATGATGATGATGATGGTGGTGGTGGTGGTGATGATGTTGTTGATGAGGAGGAGGAGAAGGAGGAGGAGGAAGAGGAGGGGGGGAGGAGGAGGAGGAGGAGGAGGATGAGGGGGAGGTTGAAGAGGAAGAGATGAGGATGAGGATGATGAAGAGGAGAAGGAGAAGGACGGAGGAGGAGGCCGGAAGGAGGAGGAGGCCGGAGGAGGAGGAGGAGGGGGATGAGGAGGAGGAAGAGAAGAAGAGGAGGAGGAAGAAGAGGATGAGGATGAGGGAGGAAGAGGAGAAGGAGAAGGAGAGGGACGGAGGAGGAGGAGGAGGAGGAGGGAGGAGGAGAGGAGGAGGAAGAGAGGAGAAGGAGGAGGTGGAAGGAGGAGGGAGGCAGGGAGGAGGAGGAGGAGGAGGAGGAGGAGGAGGAGGAGGAGGAGGAGGAGGAGGAGGAAATTCTCGGCAGAGATCCGCGCCGTGTCCCGAAGTCCGGGCGCCGCACCCTTTTCGCAGCGGGCACTCTCGCGGGGTCTCGGGCCCCGGGACCATCACAGGTCGACCAGGCCCCAAAAATGTCGAAGGCACTGGGCGCGAATTGATGGGGGGCGATAAAAATGGGGGGGGGGGGGAGAAATGTGTCTTATTCGGGTCTTCGGGCTTCCCTTCATGGGCCCTGAAGGTCCCCTTCGGGAGCCTTAAAGGGCCTCTTTTCTGCAGCCTTCGCTGCCCCCTTATTTATCGCCCCCTCCATTACGCGTCCTCCGAAGGCAGATGAGGTCTAGGGCTCCGGCTGCAGTTTTTCGCGACGTTGCATCTTTTTCTCGACGTCGGATGTCTCAGGGTGTTTCCTCAGTTTCAGCCTCTGGGGCCCGTCATCGGGCATGAAGACCACCAACATGGATCTGATACGAAAAACTGTCCCCAAGTAGTTAAGCGGCAAAGACCTTCGGGGCCGCGCGCCAGAAGAACAGATCGCCGGCTGCCTGGGAAACGGCAGCACAAACCTTCGGAGCTCCGCGCGGATTGATCGGATGGGCGCTGGGTTCCTCACCTGCCGCTCGGAGCGCGCCAATGGCGGCGCCGCCGGAGGCTCCGCCAGGGGGTTCCAGCGCCGATCCGAGAGAGAACCTCGTGGTCCTCTGAGGAGTCTATGCTCACGCCGCGCTGACACATACGGGTCGTCGGATAGCTGCGAAGCGGCAGAAGACCTACATCTTCGGAGGTTCGCGCGGATCTCATGGACCCTGCGCTGGTTCGGTCCCGCTCTGACGCGCGCCCCCCGCGCGCCAGGGGCGGCGCCAGAGGCGCCGCTGCGGGGGCTCCAGCGCCGACCGAAGAGATCCGCGATGAACCTCTGCTGCAACAGTTTATGCTCATAGCGTCTTTCTCTTCTTCGGCATGGATCGAAACCTGGATCCTATTGGCGAGCAATGCGCTCAGCGGGATGGACAGCTCCACGCTCTTGATGGTGCTTGGAGGCGTCTGGGGGGTCTGAGCTGGATCAGCCCAGAAAAAATCGGCCTCGAGGGGGGGGAGGAGGGCAGTCGCCCAAAGTGGTCTCCTGGGGCCGAGACGTGGCAATTTCTCGAGTCGCGCCCAGCCGCGGAGACGAGGGGGGGGCCTTTCTCCCCCGTCTCTGCTGGCCGGGACAAGTGCTGGGCCACCTCAGCCCCCTAGCGGGCTCCAAGATGGAGCCCCGCTCCAGCTCCACGGCGTCGACCCCGAGCGCGGCGAAGACGGTCTTCCTCAGCGCCAGGTTCTTGAGTTCCAGCCTGCCGCTGCGGACGCAGATGCTCAGCTTCTCGCGCGACAAGCCCTCGACGTAAGGCTCCAAGAACTTGGAGAGGATGTTACCCACCAGGTTCTCGAATATCGCTCCCAGATTAGCGAACATCGTTGGAGGAAGAACTGTCTGCACGAACGTGAACTTTCGGAGCTCCGCGGGGCTGTCTGGGATCGGCGCCAGGCCCCCCCCCTGGCGCGCGGAGCGCGCCAGGGGCGACGCCGCCAGGGGGGTCCCGTCGCCGATCCAAGAGATCCGCGCGGAGCTTCGAAAGTTTACGGGTATGCATTTATTGGTTTTCCTCTGATCGCCCGCAGCCTCTGCCCTCGCGCCCAGGGGGTGTGGAGGAGGAGGACGAGGAGGAGGAGGAGGAGGAGGAGGAGGGGGAGGAGGAGGAGGACGAGGAGGAGGAGGAGGAGGAGGAGGAGGAGGAGAAGAAGGAGGAGGAGGAGAAGGAAGAGGAGGGGGAGGAGGAGGTGGAGGAGGAGGAGGAGGAGGAGGAGGAGGAGGAGGATGAGGAGGAGGGACACGCCCCGCCGCACGCCCGGCCCAGGCCCCACTTCGCGAGCCAGAGGGGCCTGCGGAGGCGGACGGGCGACGACGGGGAGCGGGAGAGCGGAGGAGCACGGCGAGCGCACAGAGCCCACCCGCGCTGCCAGCGGTTTTTGGTGCCCCTCGCGGGAGCCAGCTGTCCTGGAGGCACCCGCTGGGGGGGCAGATGCAGCCGCCCCGGCGGGGGGGCATTCCCACAGTGATGGCTTGAGGGGTGCGGCGGGGCGCACGGCCGCAGAAGCCAAGGCGCAGCCAGTGCAATTCTGCCGCCTCCTGGACGAGCCGACCTTTCGAGATGGCCACGCCCGGCTCCCACGTGTCGTGGGCAGAGCGCTCAATGGGGATGGACCTTCGTCGGGCATCTGCGTGGGCCTAAGAGCCGCCCCCCTCCTCCTCCTCCTCCTCCTCCTCCTCCTCCTCCTCCTCCTCCTCCTCCTCCTCCTCCTTCTCCACACCGCAGCCGAGAATTCCTCCTCGTCCTCCTGCTCCTCCACCTCCTCTTTGTTCCTCCTCTCCTTCTGCTCCTCCTGCTCCTCCTGCCCCTCGTCTTCCTCCTCCTCCTCGTTCGCAAGCTCTGTGGTGCTCACAGGTACAACGGTGGTGCTCACAGGCACTACGGCGGTGCTCACAAGCACTACGGCACTCTCGTCTCCCCCGGGTACGACAACCAAAACGCGAACGCAGACATAAGTCGCCCATCCATTGATGAGGAAGACGGGGCGACATAGGCGCAAGCCCTCGGCGGCCCGCGCGGACGTCTTGGGTCGGTGCCGGGCACCCCCCGCCCTCTGGCGGCGCTGGGACCAAGTGAATTAATGGTCGTGCTGTTTTCTCTTCCTCGACTCCTTCATCTTCCTCCTCCTCCTCCTCCTCCTCCTCCTCGTCCTCCTCCTCCTCCTCCCTCCTCCTCTTGTTCTTCCTCTTGTTCTTCCTCTTCCTCCTCCTCCTCTTCCTCATCCTACTCATTCCTCGTCCTCCTCCTCCTCTCCTCCTCCTCCTCCTCCTCTCCTCCTCCTCCTCCTCCTCCTCATCCTCCGTCATCTCCTTCTCCTCCTCCTCCTCCTCCTGCTGCTCCTCCTCCTGCTCCTCCTCCTCCTCCTCTTCCTCCTCCTCTTCCTTCCACCTTGTCGTCCTCGTCGCCGATCCTCCTTCTCCTCCACCTCTTCTTCCTTTTCCTTCATTCTCTTCCTTCCTCCTCCTCCTCCTCCTCCTCCTTCCCTCCTCTCCTCCTCCTCCTCCGTCAGTCCTCCTCCTCCTCCTCCTCCTCCTACTCCTCCTCCCTCCTCCCTCCTCCTCCTCCTCCTTCACCTCCTCCTCCTCCCCGCTCTCTCTCTTCTCCTCCCTCTCCTCCCTCCCCCCCCCCTCCCCCCGATGCTGCTCGATTTGCCGCATGCCGCCCGCAGTCAGCCGCAGAAACGAACAGCGAGCCGCCTCGAACGGGCTGCTGCCGGGTAGCGTCAGCTTGCCCGGCGAGGCGGCGGCGGGGGCCGGGAGCAGGAGGGGCCGGAAAAACCTCGGCTGCTCGCCTCCTTCTACTCCTGTTCCTGATCCTCTTCCTCCTCCTGTTCCTGATCCTCCTCCTCCTCCTCCTCCTGTTCCTCCTCCTCCGTCATCTTCTCCTCCTGCTCCTCCCTTTCCTCCTGCTCCTCCCTTTCCTCCTGCTCCTCCTCCTCCTTGTCCTCCTCTTCCTCCTCCTCCTCCTCCTCCTACCCCTCTCGTCCTCCTTCACCCCATTTCGTCCTCCAGGTCCTCCTCGTCCCCTCTCCTTCTCCTCCTTCCCAATCTCCTCCTCCTCCTCCTCTTCCTCCTCCTCTTCCTCCTCCTCCGCCGCCTCCCCTCCCGAAAGCACATAACAACACTGTTTTGCAACATGAGCTATCAAGCAAGATCAGAGCGCTTTCATACAAATTGCCAAACATGCCATCGGTTGTGATCTCAGCATTCTCATCACATGCGACCAGGCGGGCCTCTCGCGCGCATGTTGTCGGAATCATTCGAACGCCCTTGCGCGCGTGCTTTGGGGGGGGCACGACCATTTTCAAATAATATCATGCGGACCACTCACGCCCGTCGGCCACGCGCGCATGTCAAAATCCTTCCAACACCTCCATAACGGACACGTGGGCACCATCATCGTCATCGGCGTGATTAGCATTGGCGCCGTCATTGGCCTTGCTGTTGTCTCGTCATCGTCGTCACCAACATCGTAATAATTATCATCGTGTCTGTGGTTGCCGACGTTGCCATGATACCGCGCCCGCAGGAGCCAGCGACTCGCACTGAGGTGCCTGCGCGTCAGCGCGGCCTGCGAGACGCGATGGGAAGTTTCCAATTGTCAGCGCCACCGCGGCCGCGGCGGTCGCGCCAGACTAGCTGGGCGCTCTGCGCGCGAGCCTGCGCGCGCTGGGCGCGCGCTAGCGCGGCCGCAGCGATGCGCCAGCCAGCGCCAAACAGTCATCGCAATCGCTGCCGCATGGGTTTTGCAAGCCCAGTTGCGAGTGGGTGGGTGGGATGATTGCGCGACTAGTGGGACCGACACTTCACTGCGAACAGACAACAGTTGCACCCTATCTACTGCACCACATATTGTGCTCCACGCATCCACGCAATTTGCAATGTAATGACCACGAACGATAAAACAATACGTATCTCAGCATCTCCTCCTCAGAGGAGGATGTGGAGGGAAGGAGCATGAACAATGATATGAAGAAGTAGGGCCACAGTGGGGGGGTGGGGCGAGGAGGAGGCTCATGAGGGAAGAACATTGGGCGGGAAGAAAGCAGAGGATGATGACGAAGAAGAAGTTGAAGGGCAAGAGGCTTGCGCAGCCGAGGAGGGGGCTCGCTGAGTGTCTTCTGCAGCGTCGCGGACATGACCACGAGGCGCGTGTTCGCTGTCCTCTGGCGCTCAGCTCTCTTCACCCTTCTCCCTCCCTCGCCTCCTGCTCTTCACATCGCTTGCACTTGTTGACTGCAGTGCGGCCATGCAGCCTCCGAGCTCCAGCAGGAGGGAGGAATAGAGGGACGGAAGAGGGGGAGAAGGACGAGAACGACGAGGAGGAGGAGAGGGAGGGAGGAAGGGAGGAGCGATTCCAAACTCCCCCCCTCCTCGCGCCCCTCTGCGACTGTACTGGGGTCTTCTAGCTTTTCGCCGACCTCTTACCTCAACTATTTCTTACTGCCCTGCTTCTCGCTCTTCCCCGCCCTCTTCCTTCTCCTCCTCCTCCTCCTCCTCCACCTTCCAATTCTTTCTTCGCCTTCCTCGATCTCTGTCCCTGCCGCTCCCCCTTTCTCGCCACCTCCCTGGACCCCCTCCCCTTCCATCTCCGCCTCCCCTCGACCAACACCCCCGTCTCCACCTCGTCTTCGCCCTCCCTCGGATCCGACTTCACGAACACATGCAACAACACCAAGGAAGACCACGGCAGGCCTCATATTACCAAACTTCTCGCGGTTTCAAGTCATAACTCGGATCTCCGGCGGCTGCTCGGGGCGAAATGGGCACCCCTGGCACGCCCGAGGCGAAGCGCAACTGCCGGAACGCATCCCGCGAGGAGCAAGCCTCCAACAATTAACGGAAACGTCTGGAGACCCTCACAGACCTCAGGGCACCCGCAGCTCAGGGCTCCTCCTTTTCCCCCCCTCGATCTCGAAGGGGGATGACAGAAGTTCGACAGCGTCGTGCAGGCACCAGTAGTCTTCCCTCTGCGACGGCGAGCCTTAGGCCACGATTGCGAACACGCCGTGAAGGCCGCGCTAACACTTCTGGAAGGCCGCCCGCGACGGCTTCGAATTCGTCCTGGTCGATTCGGTAACCTCATTCCGCGGCACGCGGTCCGCGCCTCTCAATCGGGTGTCGGCGGCCGCACGGCAGCAGAAGGAGGAGTGCCAGATGTTGCTGCTGATGCTGCTGGTGCTGAGGATGATGTCGGAGAGGAAGGACGAGGAGGAAGAAGAGGAAGAGGATGATGATGCTGATGGTGGTGGTGATGATGAAGATGAACGAAGAGGATGAGAACTCATATGAGGATGATGAGGATGATGCGGATGATGAGGACGATGATGATGAGGATGGTGAGGAAGAGGAAGAGGATATGATGCTGATGATGCTGATAATGCTGATGATTCTGATGTTGATAATGATGATGATGCTGGTGATTTTGGTGATGCTGATGTTGATGAGGATGATGATTATGGTGGTGATGATGCTGATGCTGATCATGATGGTGATGACGATGATGACGACGATGGTCATGATGATGCGGATGACGATGATGACGATGAACACGACGATGATGATGATGACGCTGATGATGATGCTGCTGATGATGATGATGACGACGATGAGGATGGTGATGATGATGCTGATGCTGGTGCTCATGATGAGGATGACAATGCTGCTGATGATGCTGCTGATGATGACGATGAAGAGAATGGAGGTCATAATGAGGAGGAGGAGGAGGAGGGTCAGATGCTCCTGCTGCTGACCGTGCTGCTGCTGAGGACAGAGGAGGAGCAGGAGGAGGAGGAGGAGGAGGGCAGATGAGGAGGAGGAGGAGGAGGAGGATGAGGATGAGGATGATGAGGATGATGAGGATGATGAGGATGATGCTGATGCTGATGCTGCTGCTGCTGCTGCTGCTGCTGATGATGATGATGATGATGATGATGATGATGATGATGATGATGATGATGATGATGTGGAGGAGGAGGAGGAGGAGGAGGAGGAGGAGGAGGAGGAGGAGGAGGAGGAGGAGGAGGAGGAGGAGGAGGAGGAGGAGGAGGAGGAGGGCAGATGAGGAGGAGGATGAGGGGGAGGAGGGCAGAAATTCGACACTGTCCTGGTCGATCGTCGACACCCTGGGATGGGGGGCGTGGGGTGGGGCGGTGGCCTCCTTCCGCGGCACGCGGCCCACGCCTCTCAATCGAGCGTGGGCGGCGGCAGGGCAGCAGGAGGAGGAGGAGGAGGGTCATGTGTTGCAGCTGATTGTGCCGGTGCTGAGGATGACGACGGAGAGGAAGGACGAGGAGGGGGAGCAGGATGAGGAGGGGGATAAGGAGGAAGAGGATTATGATGCTGGTGGCGGATGTGGTGGTGGTGAAGATGAAGAGGGAAGGATGAGGATGAAGATGAGGATGGGGATAATGCTGATGATGAAGACGATAGCGAGGAGGAGGAGGAGGAGGAGGAGGAGGAGGAGGGCGTCTTCGTAGACTTCTGGGGAGCCCTAATGGATTTCGGAAATTCCTGGGCGGATGAGGACAGGCCCCTCGAGGGGTTTTGGGCGTTTGAAGACTTCGCAAGGGGATGGGCGATCTGTTCGGTGGAGGGGGAGGATGGGAAGGATGCGTTTTATTTTCGCCCTTGCAGTTCCGTTTTTTGCGATGTCTATCTATATTTATATATGTATATATATGTAGTATATATGGTCCAAGGACTGGCCCCCCCCTGTGGGTGTGGTGTGATGCTGTGGGTGTGGCGTGTGCGGCGTGGTACGATGGTGCTCCAGGGGAGCTCCGGAGGTCGTCGTCGTCGCCGCCGCCGCCGTCGTCGTTGTCGGAGGGCTCCGGAGATCGGCGCCGCAGCCGCCGCCGTCGCCGCCGCCATCGTCGTCGCCGTCGTCGTCGTCGCCGCCGTCGTCGTCGTCGCTGTCGTCGTCGTCGTCGTCGTCGTCGTCGTCGTCGTCGTCTCCGTCGTCTCCGTCGTCGTCGCCGTCGTCGTCGCCGCCGTCGTCTTTGTCGTCGCCGTCGTCGTCGTTGTCGTCATCGTCATCGTCGTCGTCGTCGTCGTCGTCGGCGCCGCCGTCGCCGTCGCCGTCGACGTCGCCGTCGCCGTCGCCGTCGCCGTCGCCGTCGTCGTCGTCGTCGTCGTCGTCGCCGTCGCCGTCGTCGTCGTCGTCGTCGTCGTCGTCGTCGTCGTCGTCGTCGTCGTCGTCGTCGTCGTCGTCGTCTCGTCGTCGTCGTCGTCGTCGTCGTCGTCGTCGTCGTCGTCGTCGTCGTCGTCGTCGTCGTCGTCCCCCCCCCATCCCATCAGGGGGGGGGGCCCGAGGGACCCTGAGACCCATCCCATCTGGGGGGGTGGGGGGGGGCGCGTGGGCCTGGAACCCAGGACCATGTATATATGTACAAAGATATACGCATGTGTGTATATATATAGAAAATATAATTGAAATCTTCGGGACAAGAAGAATGTAAAACAGAACCTGTGCCGGGAAACAAGGGAAACGGACGGCTCCAAGATTGGAGCCGGACCCGGAACCACCAGAAACACGGCGACGGAGCCAAGAGCAAAACCGGCGCCCGAGCCGGCAAAAAGAACGGCAAAGCGGAACAGGTCAGCAACGGCCCCGCCGCCTCCAGGGGCCCACGAAGTCCCATGCCCGTGACGTGGGCCCCTGGGAATCTCGACCCCGTCCCTGGAGCAAGGTGGCTGCTCCCTGACGGCCGCCCCTTCCCCCCCGTGGGGCCTCGAGAGGCGGGGGAGCGAGCCGTCGAGATTTTTCTGCGACGCGGGGGGGGGCCTGAAGGGAGGGCTAGAGTCAACCCGTGCAATGAGGACGCACGATAAGGATGCAAAGGCTTCGGATGGCCATCTCGAAGCCTGTCGAGCGGGGCGCGGCCGATGAAAGTGGCCAATGATGGAACGAGAGGAGGGAAGGATGCAAGGGTACCCTTTGGGAAGGTTGCCCCTCCTTACTATGCGGGTTGATGGGCCTCCCCTCTTTCGGTGATTAGGTCAAAGAGAAAATATTGGGAAGCCTGGCCTCGGGTGCAGACTCTCGAATTCTCCGAAGCCCCCCTCCCCCCCCCCCGAAGCCCGGTTTCCTGAAATTCGCTCCCGCGAGTTATGGGAAATCCCAAGGCGCTCTCTGAGTGCAAATTTTCCGAATGTCTATGGCTTGCCAATCATGCGGAATCATGGGGAACTCGTCGCTGGTCGACTGCCGACGGGACGGGGGGGGAAGGATAGGGAGGGGGAAATCGACGTATTGTCAAGCACTTGCGCGAGGGAAGGGGAGGAGCGAGGAGAAAGAGGAGGGAGGAGGGAGGGGGAGGAGGGGGAGGAGGGAGGAGGGAGGAGGGAGGAGGGAGGGATGATGAGGAGGAGGAGGAGGAGAAGGAGGAGGAGGAGGAGGAAGAGGAGGAGGAGGAGGAGGATAAGTTGGAAGGAGGAGGAGGAGGAGAAGGAGGTGGGAGGAGGAAGGAGGAGGAAGGAGAGAGGAGCAGGAAGAGGAAGAGGAGGAGGATTGCGCTGCATCGAAGAACGAATCCCCCCCTCTCCGTTGAAAGAAAGATCGCCCTTGCTATCAGGCGCTGGAGAAAGTTGCTACGGCAAGGATTTGGCCGAGACCTCCCTGTCGTGCATCAGGCCTCGTGATTCGGCACACGTCTAGGAGAAGAAGGGAGGCCGAGGGCAGGAACGAGAGGAGGCAACGAAAGGGAGGGCGTGCGGAATATAGACGCCATCTAAGTCACAGGCAAACGGGTTGCACTGAGCAGCCCTGCGGAATCTTTCAGCACGCTCGCTGTAACTGGTGTGGCTTTGGCTCTGGTGCAACTCTTCGCGCTGTGCTTACCGCTGCGAATTGCGGATTTAACTTAACGCTGCTTTGGAGTGCTGCTTCCGGCAGCGACCGCTGGAAGCGCCTTGTTTATGCCCACCCCAGTTGTCTCAGCCTAGCCCCGCCCCTCCCTCACAGAACTACCGGAAAACACCTGCGCCGCTTGGCGCCGTGCACAAGGGAAGGCTGTTTGGATCGGAGGGCGCACGATGAGGATGAAGATCGAGAGAAGGATCGATCCTAGATCCGCCGTGGCTGCTTCATGGCTCGGGAAAACCTCCCCACATTGCAGAGCTGTGCGCGAAGCTCTCGAGAACTGGCGACTCCGAGTGCAATG